AATAAAGAGTGATTGCTTTCATTTCAAGATGCTTTGGTGTCAGACTCTTACTCCTTCACTGAATTATTAGCCTCTGAAATGCCCCCTTCCCTGTAATGATAACTCAGTCCCTTCTACCTGCTCTCAGGAAAACATCTCTATGAAAACAGCATCACTGAAATGCAGACACTTTGTGGCGCCGGCAAGTAGATGTTTACATTTTCAAATTGGCCTTTAGGTCCCTGCTAAGCCCACTTTGATCCTATAAGGAAATGTATCAAGCATGAAAATGAAATAGGGTGGTGGTGCATGAACCCGGCCTTCAGTCATTGAAGATCATTCTACACCTGCACCACTGCCACACGAATGGCTCATTGTAGACATCAGTAGTGCAGGCACAGAAGGCATGCATCTCCGCCCATACATTGAACAAAGTCTTATGTCATCCAGTATCCAGACCCTAGGCCATCTTTATGTAGAGCAACAATTCTTTTTTTTCAGATCCGCAGAGAGTTCTTTGCCATGAGGTGCTATGTGTTGAACTTCCAGTGACCAGTATGAGAGAGTGAGAGCGATAACACCAAATTTAACACACCTGAGACCTTGTAACACTAACAAGTCACATGACTCCGGGGAGGGAAACTGGCTAACTGGGCCCAATTTGGACATTGTCACTTAGTGGTGTACTCACTTTTGTTGCCAGCAGTTTAGACATGAATGGCTGTGTGTGTTGAGTTATTTTGAGGGGACAGCAAATTTACATGTTATACAAGCTGTACACTCACTACCTCACATTGTAGCAAAGTGTCATTTCTTCAGTGTTGTCACATGAAAAGTTATAATAGAATATTTACAAAAATGTGAGGGGTGAACTCACTTTTGGGAGATATTGTAGGTGTGAATGGGGCTCAAGAGTGCAAAAAAATCTGCATATAGCTTGCCACCTTCTGGCAGCAAGTGGTAAATATAAAATACTAAATATATATTGTAAAGTTCAGGGGATCTAGCATCTCGGGACCATATGCAACAGCCATTATTGTAAGTATAAAATTCTTTATTTTTCTTTAAGAAAACAAAAGAGAGTTGCCATTAGCAAAACAAAATTTCACAATATGCAACACAATAAGTCTACTTATCTTCAGCACAAATCAAACTATTAGATATGCAAAAGTCAAGCAAGGGCTTTACCCCAGGGTTAGCAGTGTCCAGCTTCAGATATTTTCCCAGTTTGTAGCACACAGCCAGGTCTCTCAGCTCCTACACCACCACACCTAGTACTATGAACCTCCTGTTGTATGTGCTGCTTCTTGGAGGCTGCTTAACCCTGTGGGATTGGAATCCCTGTAGTCAAGAGTGCAGGTCCTTTTCCTACCTGAACGTCACTCCAGACCTCCAAAATTCCGGGTCCCAAACAGGGGCGGACTGACAACTCATGGGGCCCCCGGGCAATAGGGGATCATGGGGCCCCTGTGTCCTTGCCCAAACTCAAAAAAGCCTAGGAAAGGTACCAGGGGCATCTTATGGGGCCCCCTACTGACCCCGGGCCCTCGGGCAGTGCCCGCTTTTCCAAATGGTCAGTCCGCCCCTGGTCGCAAATAAGTCTCTACCAATACCGAGAGGATGGTGGGTCATTCATCTTCTTTACTTGACTACCCCGGAATTCCTCACCCCATTACAGATGAGACCCCTGACTACACACACATTTCCTTAAAGGAACCATAACCCAAATATTGGTGCTACATAGTACCAGTCCAGGAACCATCCTTGGCATCCTGTACAAGATATATAATTTTTCTTTTTAAAAAAAAGTGTATACGGTAGGTTTAAAATATATATATATTGTCTGAGATGTAAAAAATCGGTCATCATCTGTGTCCTATGTCACAGGTTGTTATCAAAGAAGGAAATTCCTGTTTGTTTTGTGCTTTGGTGGTCTATAATGCTCATCTCAACTCTCTCTCTGTCCTCGGGATCATTCTACCAAAATGTAAGTATAACACCACTAATGTAGTAGTCTCTGTTATAAATGATCTGTGGGTCCTAAGATCTGATCCTTATCAAGCAATTTATAACTGATCTGCTGTTTTTTATTATTGTAATTAAATAAAATGGAAAAAGTGCATCTCCAACTGTCAGCATCTGGCTAGTGATTTGCAAAACTACTGTATTTATTTGTGGGACCCTTTGACACACCTATTTGTCAAAAGTATATGGGCTAGTGCTAACGTAAAGTGCTCACAACCAGGGGCTGACTGGCAACTCATGGGTCCCCCCGAGCAATAAGAGATCATGCGGACCCCTGTGTCCCCGCCCACACTCAAACCACACACCCACACACAACGCCCCCACCTACATATTGCAGCTTAGGTGCATAGAAGGGGCATTTAAATATTTACTGCAGCAAAGCCTGAATGAATGTTTCTGGTTTATTTCCATAGAAGCCACTGAGCACTTTCAGGTTTAAAGATGGCTGCCATGTGGGGGGAGTGAGAGAGAGAGGGGGTGAGAGAGAGGAGGGGTGAGAGAGAGAGGAGTGGGTGTGAGAGGAGGGGGTGAGAAAGAGAGAGGGGAGGTGAGAGAGAGGGAATAAGATAGAGGGAGGATGGGGGGGGAGGGCGCGAGAGAGAGAAAGGTTATATGACAGAGGGTGGGCAATGAGAGCAAGAGGGAGGGGGTGGAGAGTGCTGGGGTGGGGGGAAGGGGGGGGTGAGAGAGAGAGAGGAGAGGTAAGAGGGGAGGTGGGGGGTTGAGCTAGAGGGTGAGCAGTTAGAAAGAGAGGGGGGTGAAGGAGGGAGTGAGAGAAAGGGGAGATGACAAAGGGATGGCAGTGAGAAAAAGAGGGAAGTTAGTGAGGGGTGAAAGAGAATGGGGGAGAGAGAGAGAGTGGGGGTAAGAGGGAGGGGGGTGAGAGAGAAAAGGGGCGAGAGAGTGAGGGGTTTGAGAGAGAGAGGGAGGGGGCTTGTAAGGGGAGTTGTCAGTGTACCAATAATATTATGGGGTCCTCTCACCTTCCCACTGCCCGTCACCAGCAGCATGTAACAAGGCAATCCCACTGCCCGGTACCCCTGACTCACTCTGCCACCATTTGAAGTGGAAGGTGAGCTACTTCCAGGATCTGAACATGTCACCTCCTTCGCTCCCTACACTGTCACCAGCAGTCCTCTGCTCTTTGGGTCCATATCTCTCCTGCCTCCCCATCTGCTCCATCCTATCAGGTCCCGCTCAGAGTCACATTCCTGTCTGAATAATGTGTCCGAGTTTTTGAGGCAGACACATTATTCAGACAGACCTAAATATGCTGCCCCTGTATGACATCTGTGGAGCCTCTTATGGGGCCCTCTATTGATCCCAGGTCCTCAGGCAATGCACGAATGGTCAGTCCGCCTCTGCTCACAACCCTCTTGATAAAGGGTTACCACCCTGAATGTGTGTATGTTTGTTACAACTGGATTCTACTTGGGTCCATTCTACCAAGGTTCCACCTACTGGCAGTGCCAGATTTACACTTTGAGGGGGCCCGGGGTAGTTCAATTTCCCCTCAATATAGAAATTAAATTATATGACAAATAAAAAAATTAACTGAAATGAATGATAAACTGCATTTGTTCTAAAAAAAATAGGTTAGGTTCCAAAGAAGACATTTGTCTGATTTCTTTTCTAAATTTTATTGTCTGTAAGAATACACATTACACATGTAATTGGAACTGGCAAGTCATATATCACACTACAATATTTACAAAAAGTATTTTTTCCTGCATTTAGCATCTGCAAAATCTTTAACTAACTCATCAAACTGTATCATTTTGAGGGTACTGCTCTTGACAGCCAGTAGGCACAGAGCATGAGGGCAGGGAGGGTGAGTGGTATGGTGAGAGGACGTATTTACTGGAACTGATCCCCTGTATGACTCTCTCTGCAGCAGCTGAAAGTTGGCTCTTCTCCTCTCCCTTCCGCTGGCTTTCAGCTGCTGCAGAGGGAGCCATACAGGGGATCGGTTCCAGTAATTGCCCCCCACCACCCTCCCTATGCACCATACGTTTCCCCTGCTTCCCAGACCCCCCCCGTGTGCCCTCACTTCCACAGTGCTGCCAGCTTTCCCCTTCTCCTTTCAGCAGCTACATGCACACAATAAGATCTTTCAGGATGGAGAGTGGTGGAAGAGTTCAGTAAATACGGCACATTTACCAGCCCCTTTCTTTCCTGAATGAACACAGTGAATGATCAGTACCAATCACTCACTGTGTACATTCATAACTGAAGCATAGTATACTATGTTTTTTTTTGGAAGGGGGGGGGCAGCCAGGTTGGCTGTATGGGGCCCTGTGGTTTCTAACAGCAGCCCTGGTTACATTGGTCCAGCTTTTACCAATGAAACAAACATATATAGTACCTGTGGAACCTTCGAGAAGCTGGAAATCACTGTAGCAAACACAGCTACTCCAGTGATCTCCACTAGCTTCTGGGTCCTGTGCTGAGCAGCTGCCCTGCTGCATTCTGAACACATGAGGTCAGCGACTTGGCACAGGTGCCATTTAGAGAATGCTTTGCATTTTCTCAATGAATGTAAAGCATTCTCTGGTTGTAAGAGGTGGAAAGGCGCGGTTGTGACCTCACACTCTCTTTGGCCCAAAAAGGGGTCATCCAGCTCTTGCCCTGTTCACAACCTGTGAAATGTAATCCATTCAGGAAAACCTCATGTGCCTCTCCCTTTAGCCCACATGGTCAGGCCATCAGTTATAGCATATGCAATAAATGAAAGACTGATAGTTATTTCAAGCTAGAAGAGGAAGCCTATTACATTCAGATTCAAGAGAACTATTTAAAGGTAAGTTGACTGCATTGCAGAGAGGATGGTGAACTAATTATATGAATAGTTGTAAGAGAAAGTTACTTTTCTTTGTAGAAAATGTCACTCTCAAAAGTGGTACCATAGTTTGATGTTCAATATGTATAAGATTTTTTCCCCCTAACGTTCTTTTAGAAATGGTAAATGTCTTTTTTCTTAGATTCTTCTATGAAAACTGAAATGGAATTCTTAAAAGAAGAACAGAAAAAATTGGCATCTCTGGGTATATAATGCATTTTCTCAAGTATTGCTATGTGGACATATATCTCAGATTTATATTCTTGAGTTTGATCATTTGCATTTTACCTCCACAGGTTCTTTCCTTGTTTATAGTGAAGCTCATGAGAAGTGTGCTGAAGTGCGCTCCTCCAGCTCCCCATATCTATATGAGCTTACCGCCTCGGAATGCTCCCCAGAGTCTTACACTCAGTTTTTCCGCTGGCTTCCAAGAGGCAGGCTTATGAGCACAAAGGAGGGACTATGTGTAGGTGCAGAGAAACAACGTTCATACCAGCCACTGCGACTCTATGAATGTGACAATGAAAGGGTCCTAAACTGGGTTTGCACCAATGAAACTCTGCTGGGGGGTTGAAGGAGAAAGCCTTTATTTTAACTTTGGAAATAATCGAGAAAGAGTCATTATGCTTTACACGGGCACTGGTATATGGAGCCGTTGGAAAGCACGAAGCCTTGAAGGAAATCTACAGGATGGAGGAGCTTGTGTTCAGTGCTGTGCTTAAACATATTTTACTGAATATTTCTTTAATAAATGGTACCTGAAGTGGAATACCATTGGAATGCGGATTGGATGTCTTCTAATCCTACATCAGTATTTGACCTCTCAAATGCTCTTTTGGCAAAAGGAGCAAAAATTCCCACAGACACACTCCAAAATCTTGCTGAAAGCCCCCAAGAAGAGTGGAAGCTGTTATAGCTGCCAAGGGAGGGAAGAGACAACTCTATACCACTGCTTATGGTGTTGGAATGTGTTACCAACAGCTTTTGATGTTTTTGTTTCCACTGTTAAAACTGTCCATTTAAAATTGAAAATTAAATTGTATCTATGGCCAAAAACGTTTCTTTTTGTTTTAGGTAGAGTAGGCAATGGTTACAACTTTAGGCAGGTCTTCTTTCTTCCCTATCTATCATGGCAGTGGGTGTGTTGCAGACATTTGTTAATTCTCAAAGGTCAGAGTTACTATAACAGACACTTCAAACAGCGTGTGTTTCTTTTAAAACTTGTGTTGGCAGCTATTGTTTGTGTGTGTGTAAAGGGTTAATTACGGAGTTAAATGAACCCAGTGATGGACACTCTGTCTGCTGGCACTTGGATTGTTGTCCTGTGAGTTGGAAAATCTCTGTGCAGGGTGAAGTTGAAAGTGCCATTGTCACTCATGGGGACTTACTCTGGACCAGTGTCCATTACTGGAGGGGCCTATGCAATGCATTGCCTTCCAGAGGGCATCATTTTATGTTTAGAGGGTTTGCACCACATGCTTTGACTTATGTGAAGGGCAATTTGAATGTGTTATGCATGTGATTCTCCTATATGTCAAGACCCTGCTAGTGTTGGGCTTCACTGTAACACAGTGTGATTGGAGGAACTGGTAAAACCCTCTCTGTTTATATAAGGACTAGAGATGAGCGAATCGAACTTGGCGAAGTGGAATTCGTTTCGAAGATTAGGAAAAATTCGATTCGCGCCGAATCCGAAAATTAGCAGACTTCGGATGCGCGAATCAAAATTTTCCAAAAATGGCGGCCGACATGTGTGGCGACAGAGCGGGGATCTCTGGGAAGGCGCGCAGACAAGGCGCGCTGACCCATAATGCATTCATTCATGACATGTGATCGCATTAGCCAATCAGCAGCCAGCCAGCCAGCACTGTGTAATGGTCGAGCTATAAATTGCGGCCATCTTAGAATTCTCCATTAGCCTCCGGTCATTCAAGAGAGACAGACCTCTCTGTATTAAGGACAGAGTTAGGGCCAAAGAGACTTTAGGGCCACAGAATCGTTACTTAGGGACACAGAATTGTTTACTCAGGGACACAGAATGTTACTCAGGGACACAGAACTGTTACTCAGGGACACAGAATTGTTACTCAGGGACAGACACAGAATTGTTACTCAGGGACACAGAATTGTTACTCAGGGACACAGAATTTGTTACTCAGGGACACAGAATTGTTACTCAGGGACACAGAACTGTTACTCAGGGACACAGAATTGTTACTCAGGGACAGACACAGAATTGTTACTGAGGGACACAGAATTGTTACTGAGGGACACAGAATTGTTACTCAGGGACAGACACAGAATTGTTACTGAGGGACACAGAATTGTTACTGAGGGACACAGAATTGTTACTGAGGGACACAGAATTGTTACTGAGGGACACAGAATTGTTACTCAGGGACACAGAATTGTTACTCAGGGGACAGACACAGAATTGTTACTGAGGGACACAGAATTGTTACTGAGGGACACAGAATTGTTACTGAGGGACACAGAATTGTTACTCAGGGACAGACACAGAATTGTTACTGAGGGACACAGAATTGTTACTGAGGGACACAGAATTGTTACTGAGGGACACAGAACTTGTTACTCAGGGGGACACAGAACTGTTACTCAGGGACACAGAATTGTTACTCAGGGACACAGAATTGTTACTCAGGGACACAGAATTGTTACTCAGGGACAGACACAGAATTGTTACTCAGGGACAGACACAGAATTGTTACTCAGGGACACAGAATTGTTACTGAGGGACACAGAATTGTTACTCAGGGACAGACACAGAATTGTTACTGAGGGACACAGAATTGTTACTCAGGGACACAGAATTGTTACTGAGGGACACAGAATTGTTACTCAGGGACAGACACAGAATTGTTACTGAGGGACACAGAATTGTTACTGAGGGACACAGAATTGTTACTGAGGGACACAGAATTGTTACTCAGGGACACAGAACTGTTACTCAGGGACACAGAATTGTTACTCAGGGACACAGAACTGTTACTCAGGGACACAGAATTGTTACTCAGGGACAGACACAGAATTGTTACTGAGGGACACAGAATTGTTACTGAGGGACACAGAATTGTTACTCAGGGACAGACACAGAATTGTTACTCAGAGGGACACAGAATTGTTACTGAGGGACACAGAATTGTTACTGAGGGACACAGAATTGTTACTCAGGGACACAGAATTGTTACTGAGGGACACAGAATTGTTACTCAGGGACACAGAATTGTTACTCAGGGGACACAGAATTGTTACTCAGGGACACAGAATTGTTACTGAGGGACACAGAATTGTTACTGAGGGACACAGAATTGTTACTCAGAGGGACACAGAATTGTTACTCAGGGACAGACACAGAATTGTTACTGAGGGACACAGAATTGTTACTGAGGGACACAGAATTGTTACTGAGGGACACAGAATTGTTACTGAGGGACACAGAATTGTTACTCAGGGACACAGAATTGTTACTCAGGGACACAGAATTGTTACTCAGGGACACAGAATTGTTACTCAGGGACACAGAATTGTTACTCAGGGACAGACACAGAATTGTTACTGAGGGACACAGAATTGTTACTGAGGGACACAGAATTGTTACTGAGGGACACAGAATTGTTACTCAGGGACACAGAATTGTTACTCAGGGACACAGAACAGAATTGTTACTCAGGGACACAGAATTGTTACTCAGGGACACACAGAATTGTTACTGAGGGACACAGAATTGTTACTGAGGGACACAGAATTGTTACTCAGGGACAGACACAGAATTGTTACTGAGGGACACAGAATTGTTACTGAGGGACACAGAATTGTTACTCAGGGACACAGAATTGTTACTGAGGGACACAGAATTGTTACTGAGGGACACAGAATTGTTACTCAGGGACACAGAATTGTTACTCAGGGACACAGAATTGTTACTGAGGGACACAGAATTGTTGGTGACTCAGGGACAGACACAGAATTGTTACTGAGGGACACAGAATTGTTACTGAGGGACACAGAATTGTTACTGAGGGACACAGAATTGTTACTGAGGGACACAGAATTGTTACTCAGGGACAGACACAGAATTGTTACTGAGGGACACAGAATTGTTACTGAGGGACACAGAATTGTTACTGAGGGAGGGACAGAGAATTGTTACTGAGGGACACAGAATTGTTACTGAGGGACACAGAATTGTTACTGAGGGACACAGAATTGTTACTCAGGGACACAGAATTGTTACTCAGGGACACAGAATTGTTACTCAGGGACACAGAATTGTTACTCAGGGACAGACACAGAATTGTTACTCAGGGACACACAGAATTGTTACTGAGGGACACAGAATTGTTACTCAGGGAGGGACACAGAATTGTTACTGAGGGACACAGAATTGTTACTGAGGGACACAGAATTGTTACTGAGGGACACAGAATTGTTACTGAGGGACACAGAATTGTTACTCAGGGACACAGAATTGTTACTCAGGGACACAGAATTGTTACTGAGGGACACAGAATTGTTACTGAGGGACACAGAATTGTTACTGAGGGACACAGAATGTTACTGAGGGACACAGAAGAATTGTTACTGAGGGACACAGAATTGTTACTCAGGGACACAGAATTGTTACTCAGGGACACAGAATTGTTACTCAGGGACACAGAACTTGTTACTCAGGGACAGACACAGAATTGTTACTGAGGGACACAGAATTGTTACTGAGGGACACAGAATTGTTACTGAGGGACACAGAATTGTTACTCAGGGACACAGACACAGAAGAATGTTACTCAGGGACACAGAATTGTTACTGAGGGACACAGAAGAATGTTACTGAGGGACACAGAATTGTTACTCAGGGACAGACACAGAATTGTTACTGAGGGACAGGGACACAGAATTGTTACTCAGGGACACAGAATTGTTACTCAGGGACAGACTCACCAGAATTGTTACAGGGAACAGAATGTTACTGAGGGACACAGAATTGTTACTCAGGGACACAGAATTGTTACTCAGGGACACAGAATTGTTACTCAGGGACACAGAATTGTTACTCAGGGACACAGAATTGTTACTGAGGGACACAGAATTGTTACTCAGGGACACAGAATTGTTACTCAGGGACACAGAATTGTTACTGAGGGACACAGAATTGTTACTGAGGGACACAGAATTGTTACTCAGGGACAGACACAGAATTGTTACTCAGGGACACAGAATTGTTACTGAGGGACACAGAATTGTTACTGAGGGACACAGAATTGTTACTCAGGGACACAGAATTGTTACTCAGGGACACAGAATTGTTACTCAGGGACACAGAATTGTTACTCAGGGACACAGAATTGTTACTGAGGGACACACAGAATGTTACTCAGGGACAGACACAGAATTGTTACTGAGGGACACAGAATTGTTACTGAGGGACACAGAATTGTTACTGAGGGACACAGAATTGTTACTCAGGGACACAGAACAGAATTGTTACTGAGGGACACAGAATTGTTACTGAGGGACACAGAATTGTTACTCAGGGACACAGAATTGTTACTCAGGGACACAGAATTGTTACTCAGGGACACAGAATTGTTACTGAGGGACACAGAATTGTTACTCAGGGACACAGAATTGTTACTCAGGGACACAGAATTGTTACTCAGGGACACACAGAATTGTTACTGAGGGACACAGAATTGTTACTGAGGGACACAGAATTGTTACTCAGGGACACAGAATTGTTACTCAGGGGACACAGAATTGTTACTCAGGGACACAGAATTGTTACTGAGGGACACAGAATTGTTACTCAGGGAGACAGAATTGTTACTGAGGGACACAGAATTGTTACTCAGGGACAGACACAGAATTGTTACTCAGGGACAGACACAGAATTGTTACTCAGGGACACAGAATTGTTACTCAGGGACACAGAATTGTTACTGAGGGACACAGAATTGTTACTGAGGGACACAGAATTGTTACTCAGGGACACAGAATTGTTACTGAGGGACACAGAATTGTTACTCAGGGACACAGAATTGTTACTCAGGGACAGACACAGAATTGTTACTGAGGGACACAGAATTGTTACTCAGGGACACAGAATTGTTACTGAGGGACACAGAATTGTTACTCAGGGACACAGAATTGTTACTCAGGGACACACACAGAATTGTTACTGAGGGACACAGACAGAATTGTTACTGAGGGACACAGAATTGTTACTCAGGGACACAGAATTGTTACTCAGGGACACAGAATTGTTACTGAGGGACACAGAATTGTTACTCAGGGACACAGAATTGTTACTCAGGGGACACAGAATTGTTACTCAGGGACACAGAATTGTTACTGAGGGACACAGAATTGTTACTCAGGGGACACAGAATTGTTACTCAGGGACACAGAATTGACACAGAATTGTTACTCAGGGACACACAGAATTGTTACTGAGGGACACAGAATTGTTACTGAGGGACACAGAATTGTTACTCAGGGACACAGAATTGTTACTCAGACACAGACAGACACAGAATTGTTACTGAGGGACACAGAATTGTTACTGAGGGACACAGAATTGTTACTGAGGGACACAGAATTGTTACTGAGGGACACAGAATTGTTACTCAGGGACACAGAATTGTTACTCAGGGACAGACACAGAATTGTTACTCAGGGACACAGAATTGTTACTCAGGGACACATAATCGTTGAATTAAAGAGTATGTCAGACAACATGCAGAGGAGTGGCAGAGGAGGCAATGTTTTAGGAGCGAGCAGACGTGGCAGCAGAGGAAGGGGTCGAGGCAGCACTAGTCGCAGCCAGAGGCCAGTGCTCCCGGTGTCATCCAGCGGTCGTGTCTCCACCGACAACCCTGCCGTCATCGATTGGTTGGCTCGGTCGTCTTCCTCTTCCCAGGTCACCTCTGACACCTACAGCCAACGGTCGGTGGGTACGTCAGACACAACCGTTAGTTGGCATGGCCCGGGAGCAAGCCCACTGAAATCACGTGTCCTCTACCTGCCCCTGTCCTTTGCTGTTCCCTCACCAAGCGAAGTATCGCATGCTGTGGGCTCAGCCCCACTGTACAGTGAGGAAGAGCTAACAGAGGGCGGTCAGGAACGGGGGGAGACATCCGCCTCTTCAGCAGCCAGGCGAAGAAGTACTGGCGAGGAGAGTGGCTCGGTAGCCGGTCTAGAGACAGGTCTGTCTCCTGACCCACACGCAGCCGAGGGGGCTAGTAGTGAGGCGGAGACCCTAATTGATGATGAGGAGGCTGATCGCACTTGGCAGCCTCGTCGTCATCAGGCAATTTCTTCCGCATCATCAGGAGAAGAGGGTGCCAGCTTGGCAGCGAGCAAAACAGTCGGTGGGTTGCCCAGGAGGCAGCAGGGTCGCAGCAGGGTCGCAGCAGTGTCAGTGGAGGCAAACGGCCACGGAGTAGAGCACCAGCTCCACTGCAGCCTACCACCACGGCCAGTAGTGGTGCCGGTGTGCACGGAGGAAGTAGCAGTCAGCCAGTGAGGAGTAGCGGGGGCAAAGTTTCCTACTCGGCGGTGTGGCAATTTTTCGTCAAGCCGCCCGAGGAAGTAAACGTAGCCGTATGTCGACTATGTGGCCAGAAAGTCAAGCGTGGCCAGGGGGCCCATGTTGGGACTACAGCGTTGCGTCAGCATATGCAGCGTCGCCATTTGGTGGCCTGGGAAAACCGTGATAAAGATACGGCGGTTCTGCCTGCCCCAGCCCCCGCTCCATCACCCGCTCCGTTACTTGCTCCGTCACCCGACGTCAATCGCCCTCTATCAGCCAGTCAAGGCTCCAACACCTCTGCTGAGGGGAGTTGTCGCTCGTTGGCATCTTCCGCTCGTTCAGATGCTCCTTCTCCTGCTACTCCTCTTCACGGATTCCGTCAGCAGTCTTTCTTGGAATCCGTTTCCAAGAGACAACAGTTTGCGAGCACGCACCCGACGGTGCAAAAGCTGAACGTCCTCCTGTCCAAGTTGCTGGTGCTGCAGTCCCTCCCTTTCCAAGTGGTGGACTCAGCACCTTTCCGAGAAATGATGGCTTGTGCCGCGCCGCGGTGGAGAGTGCCAAGCCGGCATTTCTTCGCCAAAAAGGCAGTGCCAGCCCTGCATTCACATGTAGAAGAGATGGGGGGCCAGTCTTTGAGCATGTCGGTCTCTGCCAAAGTGCACGGCAGCGCCGACGTGTGGAGCTGTAACTACGGTCAGGGACAGTACATGTCATTTACGGCCCACTGGGTGAACGTGGTGCCGGCACAGCCGCACCAGCAACTTGGACAGGTCACGACGCTTTTGCCTCCACGTTTGCACGTCCTTGGTCCAGCAAACATGTCCGCCTCTACCACCTCTTCTTCCGCCGTGTCCTCAGCGCCACCCCCGTGCCAAGTCCCATTACCCGACCGGCATATCACATGTGCAGGGCGCAACGGTGTCACGCTGTGCTGCACCTGGTATGCCTTGGCGAACGTAGTCACACAGGGGAGGAACTTCTGAGTGTAATGAACAGAGAAATCGACAGATGGCTGTCTCCGCGCAAACTGAAAATCGGAACCATGTTGACCGACAACGGAAAGAACATGGTGTCTGCTCTGCGTCAAGGAAGGTTGTGCCATGCGCCATGCATGGCTCACGTGTTCAATCTGGTTGTCAAGCGGTTCCTAAAATCCACCATCCCACTGCAAGACATCCTTAAAATGTCACGTAAACTTTGCATGCATTTCAGCCATTCCTACACCGCAAAGCACACCCTCCTTGAGCTGCAGCGGCAGAACGGAATTCCACAGCATCGCCTGATCTGCGACGTTGCAACAAGGTGGAATTCAACCCTACACATGTTAGACCGCCTTTACGAGCAGCGAAAGGCCATCACCGATTTCCTGATGTTACAAGCGGATAAAGGTACTCCCCTGTGTAACTTCGATGTCAGCCATTGGCAGCTCATGCGTGACACCTGCCGCTTGCTCAGGCCCTTTGAGGAGGCCACGCTATTCGTGAGTCGGCAGGACTATGGGATGAACGACGTCATTCCTCTGTTGCACGTCCTGGAACAAATGCTGTTAACAATGGCTGGTCAGGGTGCGGTAGACGTGGCGCACAGATCTCAACGCCACATGACCCCTGTGGGGGCAGGACAGGAAGAAAGGAGGAGGTAGAGGAGGACATTGGTGCTCAGGAATTATTGAGTGAAATGGGTGGTTTTTCCACTCAGCGGACAGGAGTGGAGGAGCAGGAGCATCTGGTAGAGGAGGAGGAGGAGGAGACAGAGGACCCAGACGCACCGTGGCAGTATGCTGTGGAGATGGAGGCAGGGAGTCCCTCGCATTCCTTGGCACAAATGGCCCATAGCATGCTCGGTTGCTTGCGTAGCGACAGCCGAATAATAACCATCAGACAGAGGGATGACTTTTGGCTGTCCACCTTGTTGGACCCTCGCTACCGTTCAAAATGGTGGCCTTTTTCACACCTGCTGAGAGGGAGGCCAAAATAACGTACTATAAAAACCACCTATGTAGTCAGTTGGTCTCTGCCTTTCTGCGCCAACGTCCATCCTCAGACACTGTGGGCCCTGTGCGCTCGCGTTCCGCTGCCATGGCAGCAGGGGAGGGGTGGGGTGGTAGGAGCAGTGGCAGCTCCACCAGCAGCGGCTGCCTCAGTCTGCAGTCGATGATGAGTAGCTTTCTTCACCAGCGCGCAGTGAGGAAACTACTAACCAGCCGCAGCAGCAGCAGCAGCAGCAGCATCAGGTGGACCTGGAGCAGGACCTCAAACAACAGGCTTGGGCCTACTTGGACAGCACCCTGCCAACCGAGGTAGACAATCCCCTTGACTACTGGGCAACGAAACTTGACCTTTGGCCCCAACTAGCTGAATTTGCCCTTGAAAGGCTGTCATGCCCGGCCAGTAGCGTGGCATCGGAGCGCGTGTTTAGTGCGGCAGGAGGTATTGTAACTCCGCGGAGGACACGACTGTCCACCCAAAGTGTGGAGAGACTCACGTTTGTGAAAATGAATCAGGCGTGGATTAGTCTGGATTTCAAACCACCAGTTCCTGACACAACTGACTAAATCCGCCATGAATCATGCCCCTGCCATGTGCCACTTTCAGGTCTCCTCACACTGCTGCTGGGTTCCATTTTGTCATAGGGTGCTGGCAGATTACGGGCTCTCCATTGCTGCTGCCAGGCCCCTAATCTGCCATGGGCCCCCGTACCGCCTCCTCATGCTGCTGCCAGGTCCACAGTGTCTCATGGGTCCCTGTACGGCCTCCCATTGCTGCTGTCTCCATCGCCACACTCTGCCATGTGCCACTTTCAGGTCTCCTCACACTGCTGGTGGGTTCCATTTTGTCATAGGGTGCTGGCAGATTACGGGCCTCCCATAGCTGCTGCCAGGCCTGTAATCTGCCATGGGCCCCTGTACCGCCTCCTCATGCTGCTGCCAGGTCCACAGTGTCTCATGGGTCCCTGTACGGCCTCCCATTGCTGCTGTCTCCATCGCCACACACTCTGCCATGTGCCACTTTCAGGTCTCCTCACACTGCTGCTGGGTTCCATTTTGTCATAGGGTGCTGGCAGATTACGGGCCTCCCATTGCTGCTGCCAGGCCCTAATCTGCCATGGGCCCCTGTACCGCCTCCTCATGCTGCTGCCAGGTCCACAGTGTCTCATGGGTCCCTGTACGGCCTCCCATTGCTGCTGTCTCCATCGCCACACTCTGCCATGTGCCACTTTCAGGTCTCCTCACACTGCTGCTGGGTGTTCCATTTTGTCATAGGGTGCTGGCAGATTACGGGCTCCCCATGCTGCTGCCAGGCCCCTAATCTGCCATGGGCCCCCGTACCGCCTCCTCATGCTGCTGCCAGGTCCACAGTGTCTCATGGGTCCCTGTACGGCCTCCCATTGCTGCTGTCTCCATCGCCACACTCTGCCATGTGCCACTTTCAGGTCTCCTCACACTCCTGCTGGGTTCCATTTTGTCATAGGGTGCTGGCAGATTACGGGCGTCTCCCATTGCTGCTGCCAGGCCCCTAATCTGCCATGGGCCCCTGTACCGCCTCCTCATGCTGCTGCCAGGTCCACAGTGTCTCATGGGTCCCTGTACGGCCTCCCATTGCTGCTGTCTCCATCGCCACACTCTGCCATGTGCCACTTTCAGGTCTCCTCACACTCTGCTGGGTTCCATTTTGTCATAGGTTGCTGGCAGATTACGGGCCTCCCATTGCTGCTGCCAGGCCCCTAATCTGCCATGGGCCCCTGTACCGCCTCCTCATGCTGCTGCCAGGTCCACAGTGTCTCATGGGTCCCTGTACGGCCTCCCATTGCTGCTGTCTCCATCGCCACACTCTGCCATGTGCCACTTTCAGGTCTCCTCACACTCCTGCTGGGTTCCATTTTGTCATAGGGTGCTGGCAGATTACGGGCCTCCCATTGCTGCTGCCAGGCCCCTAATCTGCCATGGGCCCCTGTACCGCCTCCTCATGCTGCTGCCAGGTCCACAGTGTCTCATGGGTCCCTGTACGGCCTCCCATTGCTGCTGTCTCCATCGCCACACTCTGCCATGTGCCACTTTCAGGTCTCCTCACACTCTGCTGGGTTCCATTTTGTCATAGGGTGCTGGCAGATTACGGGCCTCCCATAGCTGCTGCCAGGCCCCTAATCTGCCATGGGCCCCTGTACCGCCTCCTCATGCTGCTGCCAGGTCCACAGTGTCTCATGGGTCCCTGTACGGCCTCCCATTGCTGCTGTCTCCATCGCCACACTCTGCCATGTGCCACTTTCAGGTCTCCTCACACTCCTGCTGGGTTCCATTTTGTCATAGGTTGCTGGCAGATTACGGGCGTCTCCCATTGCTGCTGCCAGGCCCCTAATCTGCCATGGGCCCCTGTACCGCCTCCTCATGCTGCTGCCAGGTCCACAGTGTCTCATGGGTCCCTGTACGGCCTCCCATTGCTGCTGTCTCCATCGCCACACTCTGCCATGTGCCACTTTCAGGTCTCCTCACACTCCTGCTGGGTTCCATTTTGTCATAGGGTTGCTGGCAGATTACGGGCGTCTCCCATTGCTGCTGCCAGGCCCCTAATCTGCCATGGGCCCCTGTACCGCCTCCTCATGCTGCTGCCAGGTCCACAGTGTCTCATGGGTCCCTGTACCGCCTCCCATTGCTGCTGTCTCCATCGCCACACTCTGCCATGTGCCACTTTCAGGTCTCCTCACACTCCTGCTGGGTTCCATTTTGTCATAGGTTGCTGGCAGATTACGGGCGTCTCCCATTGCTGCTGCCAGGCCCCTAATCTGCCATGGGCCCCTGTACCGCCTCCTCATGCTGCTGCCAGGTCCACAGTGTCTCTCATGGGTCCCTGTACGGCCTCCCATTGCTGCTGTCTCCATCGCCACACTCTGCCATGTGCCACTTTCAGGTCTCCTCACACTCCTGCTGGGTTCCATTTTGTCATAGGTTGCTGGCAGATTACGGGCGTCTCCCATTGCTGCTGCCAGGCCTGTAATCTGCCATGGGCCCCTGTACCGCCTCCTCATGCTGCTGCCAGGTCCACAGTGTCTCATGGGTCCCTGTACCGCCTCCCATTGCTGCTGTCTCTCCATCGCCACACTCTGCCATGTGCCACTTTCAGGTCTCCTCACACTCCTGCTGGGTTCCATTTTGTCATAGGTTGCTGGCAGATTACGGGCGTCTCCCATTGCTGCTGCCAGGCCCCTAATCTGCCATGGGCCCCTGTACCGCCTCCTCATGCTGCTGCCAGGTCCACAGTGTCTCATGGGTCCCTGTACGGCCTCCCATTGCTGCTGTCTCCATCGCCACACACTCTGCCATGTGCCACTTTCAGGTCTCCTCACACTCCTGCTGGGTTCCATTTTGTCATAGGTTGCTGGCAGATTACGGGCGTCTCCCATTGCTGCTGCCAGGCCCCTAATCTGCCATGGGCCCCTGTACCGCCTCCTCATGCTGCTGCCAGGTCCACAGTGTCTCTGGGTCCCTGTACGGCCTCCCATTGCTGCTGTCTCCATCGCCACACTCTGCCATGTGCCACTTTCAGGTCTCCTCACACTCCTGCTGGGTTCCATTTTGTCATAGGATGCTGGCAGATTACGGGCCTCCCATAGCTGCTGCCAGGCCCCTAATCTGCCATGGGCCCCCGTACCGCCTCCTCATGCTGCTGCCAGGTCCACAGTGTCTCATGGGTCCCTGTACGGCCTCCCATTGCTGCTGTCTCCATCACCACACTCTGCCATGTGCCACTTTCAGGTCTCCTCACACTCCTGCTGGGTTCCATTTTGTCATAGGATGCTGGCAGATTCGGGCCTCCCATAGCTGCTGCCAGGCCCCCTAATCTGCCATGGGCCCCTGTACCGCCTCCTCATGCTGCTGCCAGGTCCACAGTGTGTCATGCCATGTGCCACTTTCAGGTCTCCTCACACTGCTGGTGTGTTCCATTTTGTCATAGAGTGCTGGCAAATTACGGGCCTCCCATTGCTGCTGCCAGGCCCCTAATCTGCCATGGGCCCCTGTACCGCCTCCTCATGCTGCTGCCAGGTCCACAGTGTCTCATGGGTCCCTGTACCGCCTCCCATTGCTGCTGTCTCCATCGCCACACTCTGCCATGTGCCACTTTCAGGTCTCCTCACACTGCTGGTGGGTTCCATTTTGTCATAGGGTGCTGTATGGCCTCCCATTGCTGCTGCCTCCACCGCCACACTGTGGCTCCACACTCTGGTTTTGGCCCCGTGACTGCCCAAATGAGTGAAGTGTGCGGTGATTCTAAGATCGACGGCACTCATCTGCATGTCATACTGACTGACAGTATTATTTCTCTTCCCCAGCAGACTCCAAGGGCATTTAAATTAAAGGTACAGTGTTCTGCACTAATATAAAGGCTCTCTGAAGCCTAGAAACACCCTTTTATAAGTTAAATTCGCAGCGAATATATTCGACTCGAATCAAATTTTTTCCACGAATTCGCCGAATCAGTCGAATCGAATTTTTGAATAATTCGCTCATCTCTACTTACATTGGTTAAAGTACAGCTCTGTTCTGTATGAGACAGTACAGACTTCATTCATTATATATTTTTGGGGCTATTAAGTACAGCAGTTATTTTGGTTATTGGTGTTTTCATGCACTTTATTTACATAGTTACATAGTTAGTCTGGCTGAAAAAAAGACAAAAGTCCATCCAGTTCAACCATCAAATAAAAAAAAAAAAAAGTTATAATCCTATACCCACAGTTAATCCAGAGGAAGGCAAAATAAACCAGCAAAACATGATCCAATTTGCTCCTGCTGGGAAAAAAAATTCCTTCCTGATTCCTCGAGAGGCAATCGGATATTCCCTGGATCAACTTTACCTATAAATGTTAGTATCCAGTTATATTCTGTGTATACAAGAAAGAATCCAGGCCTTTTTTGAAGCAATCCACTGAGCTGGCCAGAACCAACTCTTGAGGGAGTCTATTCCACATTTTCACAGCTCTCACTGTGAAGAAACCTTTCCGTGTTTGGAGATTACATTTATTACTAGTATGTTTAATTGGGGCTTTATCCACCTAGCACAGAGAGAGTATTATTTTCTTAATGATCAGCTTCTATTTATTTATGTAAAACCTTTATCACAAAAGAAAAAAACTGTTGCTGTAACTGCTTGTTTAACTGCAGTGTGAGCTAGAGTTTGGTGTCAATTTGTTAGTGTATCTAAATCTACTAGTAGATCAAATACTCTCCTCCCCCCAGATTGACAATGCTGCTGTCCAAAGGTGCCCCTGTGCTCCTTTATCCAGAGTGGCGGCACTTTAAGGCCTGTTGCACATGGGAGTAAAAAATGCTGAGTTTTTTACTGATCTGAAATGAAATGCGTTGTTGTCTATGGGACATTGCACACAGCCAGGGGCGAACTGACAACTCATGGGGCCCCCGGGCAATAGGGGATCATGGGGCCCCTGTGTCCTTGCCCACACTCAAAGCACACCCAAAAAAGCCTATAAAAGGTACCAGGGGCATTTCATGGGGCCCCTTACTGACCCCGGGCCCTCGGGCAGTGCCCTAGTGCTTGAATGGTTAGTCCGCCCCTGCACACAGCTGAGTAAAGATCAGTAATACAGTACAGAGCAGTAAAATAAAGATAAACATTTTTTCATTTGAGTGCAGTAATTTATTTGCGTGTTTAGTCGTTTAGGCCCCTTGCACATAAGCATCATAATTTACTGATGTTTACTATGTGTATACACTTACACACCTTTACTTGCCTACAGTCAACATTACTCAGGTTTTACACACAGTTTTTGGCCCCTTGCACACCAGCGTCACAAGTTTCAGAGTAAACATCAGTAAATTGTGATGCCCGTGTCCAAAGGACTTTATACAAAAGGTAGGAAAAAGGCTAAAAAAAATTAGAAAAATAAGAAAATTGATGTAGTTACCACAAATATGGTAAGCTGCAATATTTAACATTTTTGGTTTTGGGTTTCATACCGCTTAAAGAATTGTCACATGCTAGACCCTGGTTGTTGGAACACTGTTACATCAGACACCAGTGAGTCAGATTAGGGGATACACATGGAAGACTATCTAGCTCAAGAGCAGTTGCCATCCTTCTAGTCATGACAAGTGTCAAACGTCCTAGAATTGAAGACAGCAATTTAAGCAGTGATGGACTTTGTCCCCTACATCACAGGGAAAGCTTTTAAGTTACAACTAGACAGTTGATGGCGGTGACACTGATCATGCTGTTAGCAAAGAGGAATCTAACAGACTGAACATCCACTTACGTTCTGGCCCTCAGAATTGTCTGGTGATGGAACCCCCTTTGTGATCTGAGACCTATTGACCCAAGGCCAAGTTTTTTCTGAATCTTGTCTTCCTCAAAAGCCTAAAAAAGAAAACATCATTTTTACACACCTTTTCTTCAAGGATACAGGTCCCATCCCTGTGTTTATCGTGTTGCTTGTGACACTGCTTTATTACAAAATTGAGGAATGCTGGATGTATTGGGGGGGGGGGGGGGTACCAGGCTGGTCATTGGTTTTTTTTGGCAGTGTTCAAATCCTCCTGTAGGTGGCAGTATAACCCAAATGTTTATAATGTCTGTGTTATTCATTGATCTTGAAAAAATTGCTGTGAGTACAAATGTCACGATCCCACAATCGCTGCCACTAATATGTCACGATCGCGGTGTCAGACCCCAGACCTTCTCACCCAAACTCGTGACCGAAGGGCTAGCCGATCTAAAACCGCGATGTGACGTGCGTAACAATGCCACACCCAGCTGTACCTTGCACAACGAAAATTCGATTCGACTGATTCGGCGAATTCGTGGACAATATTCGATTCGAGTCGAATATATTCGCTGTGAATTTAACTTAAAAAAGGGTGTTTCTAGGCTTCAGAGAGACTTAATATTAGTGCAGAACACTGTACCTTTAATTTAAATGCCCTTGGAGTCTGCTGGGGAAGAGAAATAATACTGTCAGTCAGTATGACATGCAGATGAGTGCCGTCGATCTTAGAATCACCGCACACTTCACTCATTTGGCCAGTCACGGGGCCAAAACCAGTGTTTGGAGCCACAGTGTGGCGGTGGAGGCAGCAGCAATGGGAGGCCATACAGCAACCTATGACAAAATGGAAACCAGCAGGAGTGTGAGGAGACCTCAAAGTGGCACATGGCAGAGTGGGAGCAATGGGAGGCGGTACAGGGACCCATGTCACACTGTGGACCCAGCAGCAGCGTGACCAGGCGGTACGGAGGCCCATGGCAGATTACAGGCCTGGCAGCAGCATGGGAGGCCCGTAATCTGTCAGCACCCTATGACAAAATGGAACCCACCAGCAGTGTGAGGAGACCTGAAAGTGGCACATGGCAGAGTGTGGCGATGGAGACAGCAGCAATGGGAGGCCGTACAGGGACCCATGAGAGACTCTGGACCTGGCAGCAGCATGAGGAGGCGGTATAGGGGCCCATGGCAGATTAGGGGCCTGGCAGCAGCTATGGGAGGCCCGTAATCTGCCAGCACCCTATGTCAAAAAATTCAACACACCAGCAGTGTGTGAGGAGACCTGAAAGTGGCACATGGCAGAGTGTGGCGATGGAGACAGCAGCAATGGGAGGCCGTACAGGGACCCATGACAGACTCTGGACTTGGCAGCAGCATGAGGAGGCGGTATATAGGGGCCTATGGCAGATTAGGGGCCTGGCAGCAGCTATGGGAGGCCCGTAATCTGCCAGCACACCCTATGTCAAAAAATTCAACACACCAGCAGTGTGAGGAGACCTGAAAAGTGGCACATGGCAGAGTGTGGCGATGGAGACAGCAGCAATGGGAGGCCGTACAGGGACCCATGACAGACTCTGGACTTGGCAGCAGCATGAGGAGGCGGTATAGGGGCCCATGGCAGATTAGGGGCCTGGCAGCAGCTATGGGAGGCCCGTAATCTGCCAGCACCCTATGACAAAAAATGGAACACACCAGCAGTGTGAGGAGACCTGAAAGTGGCACATGTTTGGGGCATGATTCATGGCGGATTTAGTCAGTTGTGTCAGGAACTGGTGGTTTGAAATCCAGACTAATCCACGCCTGATTCATTTTCACAAACGTGAGTCTCTCCACACTTCAGTCGTGTCCTCCGCGGAGTTGCAATACCTCCTGCCGCACTAAACACGCGCTCCGATGCCACGCTACTGGCCGGGCATGACAGCCTTTCAAGGGCAAATTCATCTAGTTGGGGCCAAAGGTCAAGTTTCGTTGCCCAGTAGTCAAGGGGATTGTCTACCTCGGTTGGCAGGGTGCTGTCCAAGTAGGCCCTAAGCCTGTTGTTTGAGGTCCTGCTCCAGGTCCACCTGATGCTGCTGCTGCTGCTGCTGCTGCTGCGGCTGGTTATTAGTTTCCTCACTGCGCTGGTGAAGAAAGCTACTCATCATCGACTGCAGACTGAGGCAGCTGCTGCTGGTGGAGCTGCCACTGCTCCTACCACCCCACCCCTCCCCTGCTGCCATGGCAGCGTAACGCGAGCGCACAGGGCCCACAGTGTCTGAGGATGGACGTTGGCGCAGACAGGCAGAGACCAGCTGACTACATAGGTGGTTTTTATAGTACGTTATTTGGCCTCCCTCTCAGCAGGTGTGAAAAAGGCCACCATTTTGGAACGGTAGCGAGGGTCCAACAAGGTGGACAGCCAAAAGTCATCCCTCTGTCTGATGGTTATTATTCGGCTGTCGCTACGCAAGCAAGCGAGCATGCTATGGGCCATTTGTGCCAAGGAATGCGAGGGACTCCCTGCCTCCATCTCCACAGCATACTGCCACGGTGCGTCTGGGTCCTCTGTCTCCTCTTCCTCCTCCTCTACCAGATGCTCCTGCTCCTCCACTCCTGTCCGCTGAGTGGAAAAACCACCCATTTCACTCAATAATTCCTGAGCACCAATGTCCTCCTCTACCTCCTCCTCTTCTTCCTGTCCTGCCCCCCCACAGGGGTCATGTGGCGTTGAGATCTGTGCGCCACGTCTACCGCACCCTGACCAGCCATTATTAACAGCATTTGTTCCAGGACGTGCAACAGAGGAATGACGTCGTTCATCCCATAGTCCTGCCGACTCACGAATAGCGTGGCCTCCTCAAAGGGCCTGAGCAAGCGCAGGTGTCACGCATGAGCTGCCAATGGCTGACATCTAAGTTACACAGGGAGTACCTTTATCCGCTTTTAACATCAGGAAATCTGTGATGGCCTTTTGCTGTTCGTAAAGGCGGTCTAACATATGTAGGGTTGAATTCCACCTTGTTGCAACGTCACAGCATGAGGAGTCGGTACGGGGGCCCATGGCAGATTACGGGCCTGGCAGCAGCAATGGGAGGCCCGTAATCTGCCAGCACCCTATGTCAAAA